TATATATATATATATATATATATATATATATATATATATATATATATATCGTGCATGAACGATGCGCGACGTCATCCTCGACCCGTAATGTGTGATGTGTTCACGACTCTTGTTTTTTGTTTAGTGTTTCCAGATATCACGTCGCTCAGTCTGTGGCTGTGTCATGAATCCTCATGATGACCGAAAAAAGTATTCGCTCCGTGAGCGTATGCGCCGTCTGCCACCATGCATAACGGACGACCTTGACAAGTCAATTGCAGAAGGCAATGAAGGCAAATATGACCTCGACGACATAGATAAACATATAGAGGATGTGACAAACGACCTCAACAACGCACGTGTTGTGCTGTCGACATCGTATTCTCAGGTGCAAACAATTGTGTCATCCTTGCGAGAAAAAAAAATGGAATTGGATAACCGGGATGCTCTTTGCACAATACGTGAGCAACGGCTGCTGTGCGAGGAGGGCAAGCCACGTGTCGATTCCACTAACCATTCGACTTCGTTCCTTGTGTCGGGACGCGACATTCATAGTTGCACTGAAGTCCAACTCGGTTTCTCTTTGCCACAAGCCGCGGCCTCCCTATCAGGAAGCACGACCCAAACGCCCGACTCAGTCAGTAAATCCCGGGACAACTCTGGGTCGTATGTTTCCGTGTCGCGTCGGGGTTCGGGTCATGACGAGGAGCATAACTCTATTGGCTGCGAAGGACGAAATTCTCAAAAGTCGAAGAAACAAAAACAGTTCGGTCGTTGTCCCGGATCCTCGAACTTGGACTCGTGGATCTAGATGAAAGCCTAGTGCTCGGAAATAACAACCTCGACGATGCTGGAGTTGTAATGTCAAAGTTGGAGCCTCGAAACGGTGTGTGGAGGCTTGTCGTTTGTCCGCTATACTCTATCTGCAAGATCGAACCTTTGTATGGATATTTGATTCCCATGTTCCGCGCACCGACACTGACTTCCACCGCATCTGTTGCAGATACTCACGACGCGACACTATAATGGAGCAACCACAACCTCAAGCACCCATCGATAAAGATAATGGGGACATGGTGTACGGCTGTCGACCAAGACGTAGAGTTGTGCGTGGTCGAGGGGGCCCCGGGCTTGGGCCAGCAGTCGTCACATCACGTCGCCCACGACCTCCTCCCCCGCAAATGAACGGGGATGAAATACGAGCAACATGGCCGCATCCCGCGTTTTTGGTTGAGACCGCAGTACAGATTGTCGGTGAGGAGGACGGCAATGAGCAGTTTTTGCATATCCTCGTTGGAAACGATCAATTGGACGCGGCCGCTAACAGATTCGCAGGGTACAGGGAGTTCGCGAACCTCTGCGGTTACACTCGCCGTCAGAGACTGCCGGCGGAATTCGACGAGGCGATGCGTATGAGGTGGTCTAACCCGCATAACGATGGTTACGTCGGCTTTATTCCTGATCCACGCGCTCCGGCCAAGAAAGATAACCCTCGCCGTGGATAAATGCTAGAGAGAGAGAGAGAGAGAGAGAGAGAGAGAGAGAGAGAGAGAGAGAGAGAGAGAGAGAGAGAGAGAGAGAGAGAGAGAGAGAGAGA